AACGAAACCTCGAAACCGTGTTGATACAGTCTCATTTGGGCAAATATTTTTCAATTGGATTGTTTCATTTCATTAGCAAAAGTGAAAAATAGTTTATTAGAAGTCGAAAGTTGCTTGAAACTTCCATGCCACATATTAACCGTGTGAAAATTAGTGACTAGCTGTCAAGATGACCCACATGCACGTGTGGTCCGCTGTCTTTAACAGAAACCATGTCCGGCTTTACCGACAATTTATGAGATGATGAGTCAGCCTAAGGACATTTGTCTGCCCATGTCTATGTCCGATTTGGGGAATTGCACCTTTAAAAAAATAAGGACAATGATAAAGAGGACCAATAAAGAGTACGAATTTTTAAGACAAATGTCGTAACAAGTCACATTATTAATATATTAATTTTAAAAGATTTAAATTAAGTTATTTTTTTTGTTTATTTTTTACCTCTTTTCTGATTTTTTTTTTCCTTTCAAAATCTTCTATCTTTCCCTCTCATCTCTCTTTTTTTTGCCAAGCTCCTTCTCCAGTAAACTTCGTTGAGCTCAACTACCAGGCTCAACCCTATTCTAGCAATTGAAATCCCATGGCCATGGTTTTAAATTTTCAAAAAAGAAAAAAAAAAAAAAAGAACAAGAAAAACTAAACTTTAATTATTTGGTAAAATTGAACCATAACGGGTAAAAACTCTAAATCTACAATTAGTCTTTATAAGAGAGACGAGTGAAATAACGACAAAAAATTTGGATTTGGATGAATCCATAACAGAAAAAAATTGCATAAACATAGAAGAATATGAAAAGGAGGTGAGATGTATGTAGACCACATTTTATTAATATATTACTAAGGTGGCAAGTCACCTCAGATTTATATCGTAAATTCATCCTCATTTTTCAGTTTTTTTATTATTATTCAAAAAATAATATAAATAAATATATAAATTATTTTTACAATTTTAATTTAAAAAAAAATCAAAAGGTCACATATATCTTAGAATAGAGTAACTTTTCATGTACACCAAAATTCTTTCCGGTATGGTCGGTTAAAAAAAAGCAAAGAAAAAAGAAAAAACTCTTTTCATTTAAGTAAAAAATTTTAAAAATAAAATAAAATAAAAAACTTCATCCTTTATTCTGTCCTAATTTTATTGCTAACTAAATAGATAAATTATCTCTCCTTTCACTTGTCTACTTTCAAACTAAATATACTTTTTTCTTAATATTCTAATATTAAAGCAGCTAAACTAAAAATCTGAATGAAACCTTAGATTGGTAGTTAATTAAGATGGACATGACAAGTGGCAGAAGCACGTTGGTCCAGAGTTAGGCATGGCCCTACCCCGAGCTAAAAAAATTTGAAAAAAAGTAAAATATCTAATTGTTTAGGTCCTACTTTATAGCTGGATGAACTTAAAGGAAAATAAAAC